CGTTAATCGATTGGAGACTCGGTCCTGCTGAGCACAATTAAGGTCTGTCAATTATAGCTCATTTTTAGATGTAACGCTCAATGAATCAAAAAACTTAAAATGGGAATGAATTCTCATCACTGCGTATTGCAATTAGCATTGTGTGCGAGGTTTGCAGTATCCTGTCCTCTTCCAATGCCATTTGCTCTTCTTTCTGGCAATGAGGTGGGCCTCTACATGCTAGACTTTTCAAAGGACTTGTTACAGTGTTGTGGAGGACGAATGGACCTCTGAGCTGGTGGCACGCGGTAATGAGAGCCCTAAATTCCATTGTTGTTGGTAAGTGCTGTTGAGTCGATTCTGACGCACAGCGACCCTGTATATAGGGTTTCCAAGGAGTGGCTGGTGAGCTTGAACAACCAATCTTGGAGTTCAAATGACTGCAGTTTGACGCATTAGCTCACAGAGCCACGCCAGAACTTAGGACCTCACTGAGCTAGCAAGTTTATGGTAGTCTGTTAAAGAAGCAGTAGGAAATTAACATGAAGTTAAAAAAAGAAAAAAATACTGCTACTAAATCTTAGAAAACTTTTTTTTAAGAAAAAATACCAAACTGAAGTGAAACTGATTCCTTGACACAGCTTCCATTTAGGTCTATACACTTCTGAAGGCATCAATCTAATCCAATAGGATTGGAGGAAGACTCATTAACAACCTGCGATATGCAGGTGGTACAACCTTGCTTGCTGAAAGGGAAGAGGCCTTAAAACATTTACTGATGAAGATCAAAGAACACAGCCTTTGGTATGGATTGCATCTCCAGGTAAAGAAAACAAAATTCCTCACCAGAGAAAAGATTGAAGTTGTCAAGGACTTCACAACTATCAACACTCACGGAAGCAGCAATCAAGAGATCAAATGACGTACTGCATTAAAAAGGTCTTGTGCAGCAGATTTGTTTAAAGTATTGATGAGCAAAGATGTCACCTTGAGGACTAAGGTGTACCTGACCCAAGACATGGTGTTTTCAATAACCTTATATGTGGTTACGAATTGCGCTGCGAACCGCAAAATCAGCAGTTCGAAAATACCAGCTGCTCCGCGGGAGAAAGATGAGGCTTTCTGCTCCTGTAAAGATTTACAGCCTTGGAAACCCTGTACAAGGTCGCTATGGGTCAGAACTGACTTGATGGCACTCAACAACAACATATGCATGTGAAAGCTGGACAGTGAATAAGGCAGACAGAAGAATTGATGCCTTTGAGTTACAGTGTTGGAGGAGAATATTGAAAGTACCATGGGCTGCCAAAAAGACAAATCAATCTGTGTTGGAAGAAGTAGAGCTAGAGTGCTCTTTGGAAGCCAGGATGGCCAGACTTCATCTCTCATAGTTTGGATATATTATTAGGGGGGACCAGTCCCTGGAGAAGGATATCATGTTTTGTAAAGTGGAGGGGTCTGAGTAAAACAGGAAGACCCCCAATGGCATGGATTGGCACAGTGGCAGCAGCAATGGACGCAAAGTTAGCAACAACCCTTCCTGTTTGATTTATACCACATCAAAATGGCAGTTTTACCAACCTTGGTAGATGTTCTTTGACACCTAACAACAACATGACCTAGTGGGTAAAGGCGGACCCTGTCCCCCGAGGGACTTTCCTCATGGCTTGCCTTCACAGCACCCTTCAAACTAAGCTTCCTTCCTTGGGGAGCAGTTAAGAGAGCAGCTTGCCATGGTCTGTACACAGGAGACACGCACTACATGTGGCTTTCATACAGCTCAGAATCATTCCAAGCAGAGAATGGGCTCTTTCTTAGGAGTTCGGAGGTGAAGACTTGAGTTTGACAGTGCTGATCTTGTCCTTCCCTAACCCCCACATAGTAGGGATTCTTGCCTCTGTGATGTGATGGAATCCCGGTTGCTCCCTTTTCTCCAGCTTTGAAGAGTTTTATTCATGAGCCTCCGGGGCTTTCGACCAAGTGCTTTCTGCAGTTGTCCCAGAATTATCTGCAGAGCAGTAAGCATCTTCATAGTTTCGACCTTCCTGGGACACTAAGTGGTCTTAGGGTTGTAAAGGTTGAGGGGAGACAGCGCTGCTGTGGCTCATTAGGAAGTTGTTTGGTCGAAGGCAGTTTTAAAGAAACAGAACTCTTCTCATTAGTGAGGCTTTGTGGTGTGTTTGGGGACCAGGAGGGCACCAAGGCTCTAGTTGCTGTAGGCTTTTCTGCGTGCAGTAACATACTGATGAGCCGGAGCAGTCGGAGGATGGGCATATTCGTTGAACTTTCTGGTTATCCATAGACTTCCGTAAGTTTTTAGAACTGGGTCTTTGAAAACACTTTACTGAGGAGTCTACAAGTCATTCCTTTGATGATAATGTTAGAAGATCTGGACAGACAGAAACTTGGGAAATATGAGATCAGCTTTCTAATATCTAGAAATTTCCTACCTGACCAACTCTGTGTGCCCAGAGGAGGGGTGGGAATCCAGATTCACAAATCCAGGCAGCTAGCTATTGGCTTCCTAGAAGAGATGTGTGTGCGCTTAAATCCAGTTATTTGAGGGTCCTGGGGAGCTTGTGCTGGTTCAGGCATTTTACTGTAACCAGGTTATGTTACGTCGCTGTGGGTTAAACGCACTGGACTGCAAAGAAGGTTGGAGCTGCAAGGTTGGCAGTTCAAACTCACCAGTAGGTTCTTGGAAACTCCATGCAGGGTTGCTATGGGTTGGAACTGACTCGACGGCACTTAACTAACGAACTAATGTCATGACTGGGAACAGTAACCAACTCTGAAGGCTTTGGCTGAAGAGACAATGGTATCTTCTACATTACACTTTTTACGAATGGAAGGGACCCTTGTGAGGATACACTGTGAGGGATGGAGTGCTCTAGCATTTGGACTTTGGATAGAATTGAGAAGGGCTGGGAAGGGGAGTGGAATGGAACTAGGGATGAAACAAAGTGAGTGTAAGTCCTCAATGCACAATAAAAAGTTTTCAAAAAAAGAGCTTGGGCTTTGTGATTGGACTGCTCTTTGTTCAAACCCTAGCTTTGCTTCTGTCTGTGTGATCTGGGGCAAGTTACTTGACATTACTAACCTTAGTTTCCTCATCTATAAAACTGGGATATGTAAGAAGCTTCATGTAGGTTAGGGCTGTCCCAGATGCAGAGCGTTCAATAAATGTTAGCTAGCTCTGGTAGTGTAGTGGTTACGAATTGGGCTGTGAACCACAAGGTTGGCAGTTCGAAACTACCAGCTGTTCTGTGGGAGAAAGATGAGGCTTTCTGCTCCCATAAAGATTTCCAGCCTCGGAAACCCTGTACAGAGTCGCTGAGTCGGAACCTACTCCACAGCACATAACCACCACCATTATTCTAAAGGAGTCCTGGTGTGGCGCTGTTGGTTAATGCACTGGACTGCAAAGTTGTTTTAACTGCAAGGCTGGTGGTTCAAGTTCATCAGCCACTCCTTGGGAACTCTATACAGGGTCTCTCCATTGGTTAGAATCAACTCAATGGCACTTACCCTTAATCTAAAAACAATACAAACAAAAGGAGCTCTGGTAGCATAGTGGTTACGAATAGGGCTGCTAACCTCAAGATCAGCAGTTCGAAACTACCAGCTATTTCACAAGAGAAAGATGAGGCTTTCTGCTCCCATAAAGATTTACAGCCTCGGAAATCCTATACAAGGTCGCTATGAGTTGGAACTGACTCCACAGCACATAGCAACTGTCCCCGGAGCCCAGTGTCATCCAACTGGCTCCGCTCTAACCCAGCAAGCCTGAGGCCAGTGACTAGCAAACTCCAGCTTTTGGGCTAATTTTTAAGAATGTTTTCATATTTTTAAATGGAAAAGAAACCAAAATGAGACTAAATCTTTCATCATGACACGGGCTCCAAGGCAGCTCTATGGCTCTTCCACATGAAAATATTTACGGCTGGCCTGAGGTTCACAGGCATGTTCTCAGCTTTCAGTGACCATGGGGCCGAGCTGGGACTCATGGAAGCAGCTGCTCTCAGTCCCTATGGCGGAGCAGGAAGGGGACAGAGCTGACAGAACTGTGTGCTCAGGAGAAGGTCAATACTTTCATTCCTTAAATAGGGGTTTCAGGGTAAGCAGCTTAGAAAGGAAGAGATTTTCCCGCTATCTAACTTGACAACCATTTTTATCTCTCCACAATGCCTTCCTTTTGTATTTAAGAGCTTTTGTAGGACTGGCAAGTCAAATGAGTGAATCTACAGAGCAAGAAATTGGCCCCGTAACCACTTATAAAGGCTAGCCGGAGGCTCCTTGCTTATGGGAAGTGATCAGCAGGGCTCCTGTTGCATGGACCTGTCCGGCTGCACAGCTGCGCCACCTGGCCCATGCCCTCACCTGCCTCTAGGCTCCGTCTCCTCATTTGTGAAACCCTCTGTGAAATGCTATGTGAAGATGCTACTACTTGTGACAAAAAATGGCCGAGTGTCAGCAATTTCATATGGTTGAACCTAATGGGTGAAATACTCTTAGGGCCTATTTTGGGTTTGTTGTTGTGTGCCGTCAGTTGGCTTCCAAGTCATAACGACCTGGTTAGACAGAGTAGAACTGCCCTGTACAGTTTCCTCGGCTGTTCCCTGTGGAGCAGACTACCAAATCTTCTCTCCCAACGAGCTGCTGATAGCCTAAGTGAACCATGTAACCACTGGGGTCCAGTCCTTTATTTTGGGGTGGTTAAGTGCCACTGAGTCGGTTCCGGCTCACAGCAACCCTGTAGAGGGTTTCCAAGGAGCGGTTGGTGGGTTTGAACTACAGGATCACTACAGCATGGTTCACGGATGAAGTATTTGATGAATTCCTTGAAGTCCCAAATGAAGGAGGCCAGCTGGAGTCAGAAAGCAAAGGATGCTCCCCCTTTTCAACTCATTTTACCCATATCCTGCCTCTGAACCCAGGAACCGAATAGATTGGGTTAGTGAGGAGGGATGTCTGGTACACCTAATCCTCACCACCAGCTGCAGCCCCTCTCCCCATCTTACCTCTCTCGGGACAACGGCTTGGGCTCGGGGCGGATAGCAGCCATGGATAGAGGCACTTGCCTCGAAGGAGACAAAGAGAAGTTCAGATCCAAGGAGCCCGTCTTTCTGTGCAGAGGCTCCAATCCCATCGCACCTTGCATCTCGCTCTCGATGGGGCAAGAGCCCGCCCTCCCATGGATGGACAGTGAGGACACTTCTGGTCCCATGGCGCCCTGGAGTGAGGTGTCCACTGCCCCCTGGGGGTCGTGAGTCGGAGACACTGATGGTGGGGAACGTGACTTCTTTTTGGTTGATGCTCCCGCTAGAAGTTTCAGCAGCCCACTCTTTTTCTCCTTCTGGAAAGACACACAAAATGGAAACCAAATGGGTTAGTGCAGATACCAAGCTGATTCCAATTCTTGCTTTCCTTCCTTTCCCCCAACCTGGTGGAAGTGCCCACAGCAGACCCGTGAGGCCTCTGGCCTGGAGAAGTGGGTCACCCCTAGAAACAAATGCTTCAGAAAAACCATTCTCGACCACCCTGCACCCCACTCTCCATCTCAGGACCTTGGTCTAGCCTGGCACCCTTATTTTGCGGTGCCCCAGAAACCAGGCATCAGTAGACTGTGGTTTCTACTTGCCCTGTCTTTCTAAGTGGAGTTTGAAAGACACACGACTTGCCTGCCTTCGAACCATCCCTGACTGGGTTTCCCATGATGTCAGAAACCCTGGGTGGGACCCTCATTCTCCTGAGGAGCACACATTAAGCTGTCTCTCTTTTGAAGAGACTGGCGGGGGCCAATTTTCCCTGATAACCTTCGGGTTGAAAGTACCATTTGCTCTTAATTGGACACCTCAGTTGCCCATTTATTCCCAGAGAACCCCTGTATCACTCCCTGTTCACTTTAGACATTTTCCAAGAAAATTTAAGCGGCATGCAGCTCAGTTTGAGGTGAACTATTCTGCACTCGGCTTCTTGAGACACCGTTCCTCTGTACCTGGGGTTAACAGAGCCAAAGCCCACATGTCCCCAGACACAAGTTTGGTCTATAAACCCTGGGCAGCATCTTATGGAAAGTTTTCTTTGCACAATCTAGGACATTCTGCCGTGTGTGTGTGTTTTCGTGTATATGGTTCCCTGTCCAGGCAGTGTACACAAGTCTGATACTAAGACCATTAGGTCAGGGGAGGCCACTACAGAACCTGTGTTGGACACAGGGCAGGTAGATGGTTTCTTGCTCCCCCCATTCCGAATCTGTAACAATTCTCTCTATAACCAGCTGTGAGTGTCTACCATTCAGGATTATAACATTGTTGAGAGGAATTAGTGGTGGCTTAACTGCCTGAAAATGCAAATATCTTGGGAAATGCACAAATCACTAGCATTTCAGTATGAATGAACCCGTATGTTTTCTCTATCCCTTGCACAGATACTGATAGGAAGGATAGAAACAGATGTTCCAAATCTGATGCACGACGACGAGGAAAGGCTGGTTTGGGGAAGCCCTAGGTCTGCTGGGCGGGGGATGGGTGTGAGTGTAGGTCAGCCTGACTCTTAGATTATGCTTGGCTCAGTCCTGTTTGTGAAGACTTGCAAGGGACCCTCTTCAACAAGGTTTCAGAAATTCTGCCACTAGGGGGTGCCACAGAGCTGACTCAAGACACTGCCTTGGGCATCGTAGTTCCCACAACAGCCAGGGCTCCTGAGGCCTCCAGGATTGCAGAGCTGCTACTGACCAGTGTGTGCGCAGCTCCTTTTACAACCGGCTCCAACATGCAGAAAGGGCATCATTTAGACTGGGCATGCGTGATGGCGTATAAATGACCTTTTGGGTACCACGGAAGAGTGATCTCACAATGACCATTAGACCCTCCCAGACACTGCTATCAAAAAAGTCAGAAGCTGTCAAATGGTAAACATTCTAGTTACTAGTAAAATAGCAGTGTGAAACGTACACAACGTAACTCTCTCTCTATGAGCATAAACATAAACATGGAACTGAAGCTATGAATAGTAAGCAACAGACAAGGAACCTAGTTCTCGCTCAGCCGTCCATCCCTGAGTCTAGGACCTGAGACAAGTCTCCTGGCCACCTCTGCCTGCTGATACAGTTCTGTGGCGAGTTGGGGGAGGTGGCAGGCTGCCTCAGTAGACGGGAGACACCCACCACTTAGCTACAAACACCTCCTGGAGGTAATACCATAGTCATGGGGCACGAAGTCAGCCCACAGCTCCTTTGGGGCTTGTAGCTGAAGTGTTTGTGGCCACATTGCCAGAGAAATTGTGTCCCAGATAAGTAAATCTTAATACATGTGCCCAGTGACATAGTGGTCCCCTCCCTCTCCAACTCTGTGACAGCCTGTGGCAAATGTCCAGGTTAAAGATGGACATCTAGGTAAGTATTTTTAAAGCATCCGTCACCCTTGGCTATAAAAACTGGCTCTACTACATTCTTTAATTTTCAGCTACATTAATAGACTGGTGCCCTCAGACCTCGAGATACATATGAAATATGAGTGGAAGGGAGCTATAATTAACACATACCCAGAGTATGTGGGGCTGTACCTACCTCTTAGATTTCTGAGGTGAGAACAAGGTAGGTACTTCCTATGAGAAGCCAGCCAGCAGCTTAAACAGGACAGGGGAGTCCTGGGAGCACCAGTGTCAGAAAGAGCCCATCACCCGCCCACCCCAGGCTAGGCTTCTGCAGGCAGACAGAGGTCTGCCTGCCCCCGCCTTCCAGCAGGGGGACTCATTTGGAAGATAAGCCATGCCCTACTGTCAGACTGTGTTGGTGCTGGTAAAGGATATGGGGCATGGACCCATGAGCACCTGGTTAATGGGATGGCACCCTTGCTTGCTTCTCCCCCAGTCTCCCTCCAAGGCTCCCTCCATGACTTTCTCCTTTGTACTGTGTGAGGTTGTGCTGGGAAGTAGAACCCGGGAAACTCAGTTAGAAAGCATGTTAAAAGTCAGAGCCTCTCAGATGGTGTTGGTATAAAGTGGGGCATTTCTCATGTTTGTTTCTCCACAGAAGCCTTTTCTGGTGGAGCGCCTTGGAGGACCACATATGAGCAATGCTGGGGTAGAGACAAGGAAAGAAAAGGAGAAACTTTGGGAGCCTTCTGCAGTAACCGGGTAGGAAGTGATGAGGCTCGGTTGGCTGGTGACTGGGAGGAGTGAGGTCAGGTCTGACTGTCAGGCACATTCAGAAGAAGGAACAAACACCGGTGTGTCGACAAGGTCTGCCTAAAGGAGATTCCCAGGGGAACATGGTGACCGAAAGCCATCTGCCCATAATGGATGGACGGCCTGTTTGCAGGGCTACTTCATCTCTAACAGGCCAGGAGGGAAGAGTTACAGTATCCAAGGTGGAGACTGACTTCCCAGGATGCCTGGCAATACAATCTCATCTCGATAGAGGGAGTGGGGGAGAGATTTTTCTTCCAGGACACATTTGGCAATGTCTGATGACATTTCTAGTTGTCACAACTAGAGTTAGAAATGCTACTGGTATTTAGTGGGTCGGGGTCAGGGATACAGTTAAACATCCTACAATACAAAGGACACAATCTGGCCCACAATGTCGCTAGTATCAAGGCTGAGACTCCTGGTCTACAAGGAGAGGACAGCTGGCCAAAGGAGGCCCTACTGGTCCTGAGTGTCCAGGCCCGGCTCCACCCAGCAGGATCCCATGGGTGCTGGCTCTTCTATCTCAGCAGAGGCAAGAGACTGTCTGGCGCTGCAAGATTCTTTCTACCATGCACACTCCTCAGCCTCTGTGTCCTTCATCCCAGCTAGGTCAGCTCCCTTTCCATTGCCCTCTAGATTACAAACTTTGGGAGAACAGGGACCACGTTGATCTAATTCAGTAACTTAGTACTGGTCCAGAACACAGCATGCCCTCCACACACAGTTAAATGAACTAAGCTCAAGATAAGAGCTCTCATTTCTGCTCTGGTAGTTCCCTGTCTACCTGATGATCACAGAATGACTCAGCAACCACTTGGTTGTGGAGCAACTGCAATAGAAAGACCCAGATGGCATGGGTGGGGCCTTGGGACAACGGTGGATGACTGAGAATATTTGCAGTCAAGTTCAAACCTTAGCGGCATCTTTTGAAAAGGGCTGGGGGTAGGTTGGGAACGTGTGATGGATGATTTTCCTGTCTCTACTCTCCATGATTAAATGTGACTGATCATTTTCTTAATTTGACTTTGGTTAACACTGATGAGCATGCCTTCCAGGACAGAATCCCGCTCATGCTGGAAGCCTTCACTGATCACAGATTCCCATGGAATACGGTGGCTGGTAATCATCATGCACATGGGATTCATAGAATATTTACGATTACCTTCCAAGTCCTTCCTCTGATGGTCATCGCATGTAATGTAGTTAAGAATTAGTTAATAGACATTTTGAGTGTTATGGATTACAGGGTACCAGCGTGGAAGGAGAAACACAATTTGCAGAGCTTTCTCGTGGGATCTGGACTGAATTAGAAACTTTCACGAACCAAGTGAGATGTGGAGACCAGCATCAATGCTACGTGATGGCGGTGGTCGTTCTTTTCCTGCACAGTACTTCAGCCAGAATCCTACTCTCGCCATCTGGGCTTTAAATAGCCCTCTCCGGGATGCACCACTTCCTAGTCATCTCTCCATGAGGCCAAGTTCCAGCCATCATGTCAGTCTTACTAGGTAGGTAGATGCCAGTTCCAACCATCATTTCAGTCTCACTATGTAGGCAGACGCAAGTTCCAACCATCATTCAGTCTTACTAGGTAGGCGGACACAAGTGCCAACCATCACTTCAGTCTTACTACGTAGAAACAAGTTCCAAGCATTATTTCAGTCTTACTAGGTAGGCAGACGCAAGTTCTAACCATCATTTCAGTCTTACTAGGTAGGCAGACACAAGTGCCAATCATCATTTCAGTCTTACTAGGTAGGCAGACACAAGTTCCAACCATCATTCAGTATTACTATGTAGGTAGACACATGTTCCAACCATCCTTTCAGTCTTACAATGTAGGTAGACGCAAGTTCCAAGCATTATTTCAGTCTTAACTAGGTAGGCAGACGCAAGTTCCAACCATCATTTCAATTTTACTAGGTACAAACAAGTTCCAACCATCATTTGACTTACTAGGTAGGTAGATGCAAGTTCCAACCATTATTTCAGTCAGACGTAAGTTCCAACCGTCAATTCAGTCTTACTAGGTAGAAACAAGTTGCAAACATCATTTCAGTCTTACTATGTAGGTAGGCGCAAGTTCCAAGCATCATTTCTGTCTTACTAGGTAGAAACAAGTTCCAAGCATTATTTTAGTCTTACTAGGTAGTCAGACGCAAG